GGAAAATTGCATTTGATCAGTGGGTGACTAAGTGAAAAGCAGCAGGGACAGTCCAGATTTGCTACAACTTTCAAAATTGGAAGGCATCATTACAATCCTGACTTCTTGCACAACACACACCACAGAGAGAAAAATCCAATATTCTTCATTTCCTGCTTTCCCAACAGCAAGACTGAAATTACAGATGAAAACAACCCAGATACATTCACACGTTCTCTCCTCACCTTTGGGTTAGGGTGACGACTAATGATGAGGCTGACCGGACCTGGACCGCATTCACTCAGGATGGCATAGGCTTCACTTAACGCTGCATGACGCAGGCTCACCGAATCTGCCTCCAGGATCTGGTCACCCCGACTGCAGAGAGACAAAGAGCCAGTTAATCACAACCACCTTTTACAAAAACATTTCTGCTTTCAACTGATGGCCAAGCTTTTTCAAAGATACAAGTGTCTGGAAAAGATCTGACTTGCAAACAAGCCAGTCCTGCTCTTGCTCCCAGTGATGTGAATGCTTTCAGTCCTGTTGACTTCAGGAGGGAGATCTAGACAACGCTTCTGCATATACCGTCAGCACTACAAAACCTACTAAATCAGTGGAGAAAATTGGCTGCATTTGGACCATGATGAAAGCAAACTTCAAATCCAGTTTTTGCATTCAGATACTTGTTGAGCACAGAAGAGGAAAAATTATATTCAGATGGTCTGTTCCTTCGCATCATATTAAACTACTTAACACAAACCCTGATAAGAAATTAATGATTTGAGTTTATGAAATGACTCCAGGAAACAGTGGAGTGCGATAAGCCTCTGGTATTTGCTTCAAATTAACATGTAGAACCCATTTAAGTGACAAAAAGAAATAACAAAATCCTCTGAGGGGAAAGCACAGATTGTTTAGTTTTGAGTTTTTTCCCCATTTCTTAAGTCTTGCACATGGTGCTCAGACATCTGGAACTATTTAAAAGAAAAGATCACCAACTAGGGTGATCTTGCACAACACACACCATCAAGAGAAAAATCCAATACTCTTCATTTTGGCAATCAGGCTCAGTAGGCATGGGTTCAGGAAGGGCAGGTACTGCTTGACTAACCTGGTCTCCTTCTATGACAAGGTGACCTGCTTAAAGGATGAGGGAAAGGCTGCGGACATTGTCTATCTGGACTTAAGGAAAGCCCTTGTCACTGTTTGACACAGCATCCTCCTGAAGAAACTGCTTGCTCATGGCTTGGACAGGTGTACTCTCTGCTGGGTAAAAAAAACTGGCTGGATGGTCAGGACCAAAGAGTTGCGGTGAATGGAGTTAAATCTGGCCAGATATAAGTGGTGTTCTCCGGCGCTCAGTACTGGGGCCATTTCCGTTTAATATTTTATCATTTACATAGATGAGGGTATTGAGTGCACCCTCAGTAAGTTTGGAGAAGACACTAAGCTGGTAGGGAGTGTCGATCTACCTGAGGGTAGACAGGTTCTACAGAGGTACCTGGACAGGCTGGATCAATGGGCTGAGGCCAATTGCATGAGATACAAGGCCAAGTGCCGGGTCCTGCACTTGGTTCACAACAACCCCATGCAACACTACAGGCTTGCGGAAGAGTGGCTGGAGAGCAGCTTGGAGGAGACGGATCTGGAGGTGTTGGTCAACAGCCAGCTGAACATGAGCCAGCAGTTTGCCCAGGTGGTCAAGAAGACCAACAGCATCCTGGCTTGTATCAGGAATAGTGTGGCCAGCAGGACCAGGGAAGTGATCCTTCTCCTGTACTCGGCACTGGTGAGGCTGCACCTCAAATACTGTGTTCAGTTTTGGGCCCCTCAGGACAAGAAGGACATTGAAGCACTGGAGCATGCCCAGAGAAGGGCAACGAAGCTGGTGAGGGATTTAGAGCACAAGAATTATGAGAAGTGGCTGAGGGAACTGGGGTTGCTTAGTTTGGAGAAAAGGAGATTGAGGGGAGACCTTATTGCTCTCTACAACTACCTGAAAGGAGGTTGTAGAGACGTGTGTATTGGTCTCCTCTCCCAAGTAACAAGTGATAGGATGATAGGAAATGGCCTCAAGTTGCACCAGGTAAGGTTTAGATTGGATATTGGGAAAAATTTCTTTACTAAAAGACTGGTCAAGCATTAGAAAAGGCTCCCCAGGGAGGTGCTTGAGTCATCATCCCTGGAGGTGTTTAAAAGACGAGTAGATGTGGTGCTTTGGGATATGGTCTAGTGGTGGGCTTAGGGCTGGTTCGATGGTTTGACTGATCTTGAAGGTCTTTTCCAACTGAAACCATTCTATGGTTCTAGGGATATCATTAAAGCATTCTCCATAATTCCAAAAGCATTTGCTTTAAATAGACATTCCCAAACAATCCACTACCACTGATTTACATTGGACTACCTGTGACAATGGAAATGAGTTCACGTTGTGAGTCCACATGCCAAAGGCAAAAAGGCAGTTGCCAGTGGAAACCTTCAGTAACCTTCAGTAACCCCTACTTCTGGTACAGGCTCAGGAATGCAAAGGGTGACCTATCAGTTATGTTATCATGCCATCTGTTAGATTTAAACAGCTATCAGAAGCTACACAAATGGATCCACTTACACAGACACAAGATTTGAGAGGAGGAGCTGAGATACAGAGGAGCTGGATTCAAATGTCTCCTGGTATTGCAAAGCCAGCATTTGATTAATGAAGTTTTCAAAAAAATCAAAACCATCCTCTAACTTTTGACTTATGGAGCCATAAACCGCTGATGGGACAACAGAAGCAATGTCTCAAAGAAGCAAGCTAGAAGTCTGGGAAGCATGCCTGGATCCAATCAATCACTTAAACCTAATAAATGATACAGTTGTTATATACAGACACAACAAGCACTGCAATCTTTTCCAAAGAGGCTTATAAGATGGCAAGTTAACATTAAATACTGTCTCCTTTAGACATTTGGATATGGTAGGAACTTGCAAGGGTCTTGGCAGCGATGCCACCATAAAATTATCTTTTCTCTTATTCCAAAGAATTAAATTGCTCTATCACAGTTTTCCAGGTGAGCAAGGAAACAGAAGGCACTCTCTGCCCATATGAAAGCAAGGCATTTGCTCAGTCTCTCTGCTGAAGTGCTCAGGTCACACATCCAGTGTGGATGCCAAGGTCTCAGTGGGTCCTCAGCGGAGGCTCCCCTCCCAAGCAATGCTCCCAGCGCCCACCGGCATTTATGCAGAACAGCAAGAAGGTGGAAGATTTCCTGCAATGGTTTTTAAAAATGAGGCCACCAAGAGAGGACCACCAAATATCTTTCCGTCACTTAATCCAAAGCACAGGGGAACCCTAGGAATGATTGCTTCTTTTTCTTATGGTTCTTCAAAGACATCCAAACTCCATGACAGAGTAAACGAGACGGGCAGGTCAGTCTGCAGCGATCCTGCCAGACAGACAGCAAGGGCAGACAAGCGCTGCTGCAGCCAGGGGCACTGTCAGCTGCAAGAACATCTCCCCCAGCTCTTTTTATGAGTTTCAGGTGACTGAGCTTTTAGCAGAGCTCTGCAAATTTCCTCCCAGTTTGGGGTCTCTGGCTGCAGTTCTGATAAAAAGAGATGAGGCTGCACTTCTTGCTGCTCCCCTTTCTCAAAGGGTGCTATTAGGCTCAGTTTTCTGTATAGAGAGTTAAAAAGAAAAAAACCCAAGCCTTAATAATTATGCTGCTTCCAGAACACAGAATAATGTTTCCTGGGTATTTAATAACATTTTGGAATGTCTTTATTTAAATGTTTTCTTTTTGGTGAACTCTAAAGTATAAATCCCCTCCCTGCTACACCAACTAATTGGTGAAAACAAAGTCTCAATCGATTTTATTGCAAAACCACTCCAGCATGTTTCTGCTTTTAACTAACCTTAATCTGCCATCCATTTTAGCCACTGATCCTGGGGCCAGGCTGTGAATATATATCCCTGGAGAACTGTTTTCCAGCGTGAGACAACAGGCACCAATCCCGAGCCCAACCCCTGGCTCTGTGAAAAACAAAAAGTACAAAGAAATGTAGCAGACTGTAATCACACAGGACACACAAGTGTTTGTGTTTCCACATCCCATCTAAGAGTAAGACTCATGTATTGTTTCAGGGCTGGCCTTAGGTGCAGTCAGTCAGGAAGCCAAGAGCAACAGTGGAAATCAGGATTGAAAATATCTGATCCTGACTGTTTTCTGAGATTCATCACTCTCAATAAATTTTCTGTGTGCCACGGGAACCACCTGGAATAGTCACACAAGGTCTGATCTGGTCCAAGGCACAAAGGAATGGGGGCAGCAACCCAACAAAGATGTCATTTAATGTTATTGCACAAAACATGAGCACAGGAGATGCTGCCAACCGAACTGTTCTCTTTTGTTAAATATCTGCATGGCATCCCCCAGCAAAGAGGCATGAAGAAAGGTGATGTGTTATCTCTGGTTCAGCAATCACCTCTGTCCACTTTCACCTTTGCTTTCCTTCAGGTAACAGCATTCTTAAAGTAGGAACTGCTGGATGTCTTACCTTCTCTCTCCAAATTCTTTAACTAACCTTTAAAAGCAGCAAATTTAAAGCCTTTAAAATAGGCATATTTGTCCCTCCCATATAATAGCATATGCACTTAAGTTTATCTTGTGCAATTATTGATAATGAGAGCAACCCTCAGGCAGGTGTTCAAACAGCTCATGAGGGCAATTTTTAAGCGCTCTTGAGTGGCTTTGCCTTCCCAAGAGCTGCCCTTTACAAGAAAGGCACAGACAACTGGGCAGCCAGGAGGCTGATTCACATTTGGCCTCGTCTCCCACAGACTTCCTCCTTTCAGCAGCATGGACTCTACCTGTAAGAATTTCCTGACTCGGGAGCAGCAAAGTGTGGAAGGGGGAAGTCTTTAGAGGTTCTTGCATTGGAGGATGCTTTTCTCCTCATTCTGTGGTTTAACGTGTGATGGACATGGAGAGGCGTCCTGGATATTAGAGCCTCTAGCTATTCCCAAGTGCTACCCTAAGAAGCAGAGATTAGTTCTCCACAGCCATTTCAACAGACCGTCACCTTTATTGAGCGTCACATCCATGACAATCCTGTCTTTGGGGCCAGGTCCTTTGCGGTTGGAGGAGGAACTGTCCGGCTCATCGGGTCCAGGGACCGGGGTTCCACCGCTGGCATTGGAGCTGGGGGAGCTGGAGCGGCTCAGCAGGGTGGGAGTCGCGCAAGGCGTCAGGCTTGGGCTGCGCAGACGCGTGCGCACCGTCAGAGTCACCACTCCTTTCTTGAGTTGCTGGAGAGACATCAGAGAACCCCAATAAGGTGACGTGATACCCTAACACGTGCCAACGCACCTGCATACAGAACTTTGTGGCAGCAAAAGAATATAAAGCCTGGGGTGCTAAATGGCACGGGATGAAGAGATGCATGAATCTTTCTTGTAGTACAACCATGTTACCTTAAACCTCTGAATGGCCTCCTGATGGGTCAGCCCTTGTAGAGACTCTCCATTAACTTCTAGGATTTCATCCCCTGGTAATTAGATTAAAAAAAAAATCAAGTCAGCAATAACAGACTATAGAGGTGTAAAAAATTGTTCCTGTACATAAGGTGACCCACTACTATAAGGATTCCAATTAACTGCTCAGTAAAAAGCCTTTTACTGTTCTCAGTTTATTTTCACTTGTCCTAATGCCTTTACAAGTTAATAGTGATGAATTAGCAGAGTAAGGCCTGTTCTTTAGCAGAGATCCTTGGCTTGGCATTCTTGTACTAACAAACGAGCTGAAAACACTACAGACTTTAACTAAAGTCTGAAAAGAGATACTCATAACATGAAGTCCAAAGGGACTACAAAACTCTCCTTTGAGTGTATCAACAGGAGAAACAAGAATCTAAGTGAAACGCTACAGCACATCACTCTAAAAGCCTGTTCAGAGAAAACTGGCCTCTGTGCAGAGAGCAAACATGTCCTCTCACTGAATGTCTGCAGATGGAGAAGTGAGAAGTCCACATGCTGCAATATCAAGTGACTTTCACCCTGCAAAGAATGTGTTCCTTCACATTTCTACCTGCTTCCAGGCTCTGGGTCTTATGACTTACACCCAGCTGTATTGATCTACCTTCATTAAAAGGAGGCCAAAGTGAGCAGATCCACATGCTGCAATTTTACTTGCATCTGAGCAAAATTATATGGGGCGACACCATTAGCCATGTCTACCTCTTCTCTCTCTTTTCCTGCCCCGGTTAAAAAACAAAAAAGAGTATGCAGGCTCTGAACAGCCTGCAAAGGATCACTGGGTTTATGGGACATCTGCTATTTATTGGCTTCCCATGGTGAGTGTACAACCTATGCTGCAGGGATGTGAGCTTCCCTCTGGCAGGAAGTGTGAGAGCTGGCACCAAAAGCAGCCCCAAATACAAGTGTGATGAGACATAACAAGGGGAATGGTGATATGAGAGGGAGGGAAGTAACACAGGAGCAGCTTTCTGTGGATGAGAAGTAACCCAGCCCCTGCAGAAGAGTTGTAGACCACTGTTCTAAAATCATGCTCACATTGTACTTTCAGCAGTGAATAAGAGTCTGTCTGTCTGGTGCAGAAGCACTCAGACCAGGGTACAAGCCCACGCAGAGCAAGCTATACGTCCATCTCGGAGATTAAGACTGGAAAAGCAGTAATAAAATCAGGATATGTCTACTTCTCTAACCAGCTGGGTGATCTCCCTGCCAATCCCATCCTTCTTCTTCTCTTTTTCTGGTTATGACTCTGGTTGATTCATATCAAAATAGCACCAGGAGGCTCAGGAGCACCAGAGGCTCTGTATAACCTCTTCTTGGACCAGCATATTTAAGCCAGATGTTGGTTGGATATCTAAGTTTCATTTCTGTCAATGACCCTCTCCAAATGAAGAACCACAGCTTATGGGCCTGGGCAGACAAAGTTCACTGAAGAGGAAGGGAAAAAAACCCACATCATGCTGTGGTTTCCCCTTCTCAATATGCAATATAACCAAGTTAACTGCTATGAATGATCTTCCCCAGGATGGACAAACAGGGTGTGTTACATCCTCCACAGCCTTCTGCTGATGGCCAGGTGCCTAAATAAAGCTGTACTTGAATTTTTCAGCTGGACTGAAATAATATCCCACTGTGGTCCTTTATATGCAGTTGGATTCTCTCTACCATACCTTCTTTAAGCCTTCCATCAGCAGCCGCTGCTCCATTTGGGAATATAGTCTTCACAAAAATCCCCATCCGTCCACGAGCAGAATCCTGACCTCCCACAATGCTGAATCCGAGACCCTACAGAAAAGGTAGGAGAAGATGCACAGCTGGGACTTTATTATTACCTGTGCAAGAAAGACTGCTGATAACATACAAGACAAAGGGAAGATGAGAGAGATGAAAACCTAATAGCTGCTGCTGAATCACACTGCCATCTCACCCTCTGCTTGCATTTCCTGATCTACTTTCACTCTCACATCAACACACTTATCAGTCCAAAAAGCAGCAGCAGGCACACCTCAAGCTAAAAGGCAAAAATGCTGTTCTGAGATTTATTTATTTTTTAAGCTCTTGGTCAATGGCTTTATGTTACTCTAGTTCCATTTTAAAAAACTGTAACACATTGCTCTTAAATCGACAGACAGTAGATTCCCACCCCTGAGATCTATATCCAAGATTAACGGTAGTTTTCTCTGCTGTCACAGACCCCGCATTTCCTCAGGAAAAAAAAAAGCTTAGGAACATGACATAAGGTCAGTGCTGTAATGTCAGGAATGTAGCTGGAAGGGGGCTGGTGTGGTGGGGCTGCCATGTACATATACATATTTAATTATTCTGGAGACATGTACCACGTTGTATTTAAATAAATCTGGATCAATACACTCCCCAGGGCTCCATCTGTTAGCTCCTACCCCTGCGGTGCCCCAGTTGGCTGCAGGACTGTCTTGCAAAGCTGATCAGGGAACGGATGAGCACAGCAGAACAAACCCTTTCCCCTTCTGCTGAATTATTTCCCAACCAAATCACTTCCTTGATCCATTCCCCCTCGTCACCCCGTATTTCTCCTCTTGTCACTGCTGTATATGCATTTTAGAGAATAAAGAGGAAAGTCACTGACCAGGTGGACAAGGGAAGTGGAAAACTGTTGTGCTCCAGTGATCTGAAGCCAGGGTTGTTATTAGCGCCTCGGGCAGTGCTCTCCAGCTGAGGGACGCTGCCAGGGCAGGCACTAACACTGTGTTTACAACCCAATACAACAACTGGCTCTTTTGTTTTACTCCGTGAATATGAAGCCAACTGCTGTTGTTATAAGCTTCTAGTAATTTGATAAGATGTTACTGATTTCTAGACAGGAAGCATCCTAGCTCCCCTGTGCAACACAAAATAACTACCTGTTTACTGGGCAATTATCAACTGCAAAGCAACCAACGGAAAACACGAGGCTCCTGACACCCCCCTGCATGGACACAGCTCTCCCCAAGACTTTTCAAGTCTCTGGTCTGCATAGAGATAATAAAGCAAATGCTACCACACAAACTGTACGTGGTGCAATTCCTAACAGGTGCTCAAAACACAGGTGGAAGGCACTTAAACCAGCAATTGTTTTGAGGTGGTTCATGATCACTAGGGTTTGCATGCTCCCAGCTGCTTCATAACGCCTTGGAGCTAACTGCAGAAAGGCAGAAAAGTGTGGCTTATCCCATGGGGAAAAATAAGTTGATTTGTATGAGAAAAATGGGTCAAAAAATAAGGAAGTGAAAAATGAAGAAATGCTCACTTGGAAATGTCATGAAAGACCTGAAGCTTCCAAAACAAGGAGAGTTATAGCAACCGTGAGTCAATCTACCCAGGGAAGTCACTATTTCTTCGCTAAACTTAAAGCACAACAAAGAATTTGTTTTTGTATTTTAGCTTTAAAGTCAAAACAAGTCTTCTTAGTCCAAAACACATCCATCTGATGAATTTAAAGAGTATTTCAGAAAAAGAGACATGCATATTTTTAGCATATTTAAATGTCAGCCCCAACACTAGTGTGGATTGGATTAGGGAAAACAATATATACCTAGGTTAATGCTTGTCTATTTTCCCTTAGGATTCAGCCAGCTGGTATCTAGCAAATGCGCAAACATGCTATTGCAGGGAGAAAAGAGGACTCTTTGACCCAGAGAATTCAGTGCCATCAGATAAGCAATCAACCAGGAACCTGTCTTTGGCTTTAACGCTTAATTTGCAGTGATTTTTTTTTTAATATATCCAAATTCCACAGAGATAAACTACGCTTGTCCATAAATATGCACACAAACAGGTACTCCTCTGTAGCTGCACCAACTTTGCATAAGCATACATATTTATAGATCCTTTATTAATATTTGATATCTTAGTAATGACCAGATGCACAAAATCGGAATGAAAGCCACCCCATGTCAAGTACATGACACGAACATTGCTTCCCCTGTATTTTGCAGGGGCAACTTTGTCATTTACATCTGAAAATGGGATTTGTGTATGATTATTGTTGTTATTATTATTACTGGCTACCTTGAAAGCTGGTGGAAGTCCTGGGTGTGGGAGACACCTCTTAAATGCCAGCTCTTGCTACATGTGAAAAACCAGCCACATGGAGAAATCCTCACCTTGCCTTGCCCTTTCATCAGGACGATGTTGGAAATGATGGACGGCTGGGTCAGTCTCCATGGAGATTCCACTTGGGCGGCACTGAAGGAACGGGTGGATTTCTTCACAATTTGGTAGTCCTAACAAACATCAGCAAACATTAGAAGTTGCTCTGATTGCTTGAGACAGGCACTGGGATGTCATAGTGGGAAAACCGCATGTGTCGGGGAAGAAGGAGGGGGGGAATCTTATAGATATATTCAGAAAATGTTCAAGAGATGAAATCCTAGCTCATTACAGCCAAAGTGAATCTTGCCACAGTAATTTCCCCACATTTTGCACAGTAGGATCATTTTGTAATGTACCAGCCACAATTTAAATTAAAAAGATTAAGGGTAGCCTCATGATATACTGAAGTCCTTATCTGATTTAAAAAAAAAAAAGCCTACATCATCAAGTCATTAAAATACAGAGAAGCAGGATTTTTTTTGAGTCCTCAGATCTCTAGGAATTGCAACTTGTAAGATCAGCCTTAGGGCCTTCTGGTCACAGCAAGAAGTACTCCCCTTTACCATCCTCAGAGTACAGAGGTTCTCCATAGGTGGCCAAGTATTCCCATTTTGGCCTCCAGGCCTGGTTTCAGCCCCTGTGATGTACCCATGTGGCCTTGTTTCACTACCCTTGCTTCTAGGAGCTATAGACAGACCTCAAAGGAGCGAGCACAGCAAAGGAGCTCAGAGCCAGCCCTGCCTTTCCACCCACCTGCCTGGCTCCCGCCGACTCCAGCTGCTGGGGCAGCGAGTGCTTTCTTCCACCCCGCGAGTATTTCACCGCTATTTCGTAACTTGATTCACCGTTTTCCACTGTCAGCTCATCGTCTTCTCCCACGGACTCCAAGCGGGATCCAGCACCTAGGGAAAACCACCACAAACATCTCAGAGCTGCTTTATCCTCTCGCCAATACACAATAATCAGCTCCTGCAAATCCCAACTTAAACAGTGCCTGAAGACAACGCCAAGCACTTCCCAACCAGGCAGTTAGAAGCTAGTTTAGATCACCCTCTAAAATCTTTTCCTGCTGTCACAGGTTTTCTGCGATCTTTCAGCGATGTAGAGCTCTTCAGCGCTGTCGCTCGTGGTAGTAAGGAAAAGCAGAAGATAATTGAGCTGGTAGCTCAGGGACAGAAAAGAAATTCAGCTGTTCTCACCCAATGGCACTTGCCAGCGCACTAAGCTCTCAAGTTTCATTTATTTAAAATTAAAAGACCTGACACTGTAGCAGTATTCATTTCTGGAGGTGTCATGTCACTTTGAGGGAAATTTTTCTGGAATGGAAAAAGGAAAAATGTGCCAAATAAAGGCTATTTTCTTTCCTTCTGGCAATAATCCTAGTTGTCTTAAAGAGGAGGAGAGTGCAGAGTTCATGTAAGAAACAGAATTATTTGTCTTGAAGGACATCCTGTAATTAGCCACAGAGTACCCCGCTCCGCGCACCAGGGCTCCTCCAACTCTCATTTTCTCCAAGGTCCCCACAGGAACCCCAGTCTCAGCAGTTCCCGCACATTTATCCTTGCCATTTCCCAACCACACAGGGAAGGGCCATTAACCCCTATTTTACAGATGAATACCCAAGACACAGACAGGCCAAATTTGTGCAAGCTGGATCACATGACGTAGTTTTAAGATTAATTTAAACCAAGAATAAGTTGGAGCTACTGCAGAAAGGGGCAGCTCTGCTTTCCCTTCATCGTTCCTGCTCTGTCCTTAGCCCGGGGACAAGGCTCACAAGCCATGGGCTGAGGTAGAGCCACTGCAAATGTGCCCAGGAGAGCCCCAAACCCATTAATTGATACCTCTTCCTCAACTGGAGGCTGTGCAAACATTGCTGCCAGTGACAGAGAGGGATGGAGCACAGGGCTGAGGCAGCTGCTTCACTCGGCATCAAAGCAATTCTGCCTCCAAATCCACAGGCAGGCTTTGTAGCCACTGCCCAAAGTACGATTTAAATCGACTCCCTGCTTTGGGGTGGTGAATTACCTCTGGTTTTAAAGCTCCCCTTCCCTGTGCATGCAGGTCACTGCTACTGCACACAGCCAGGACCCGGCATCTCGCCACTTCTTTCACTCCCAAATCCTCCTGGCACCTACAACCAGCCCTTTCCCATCACCTCTCCCTCTCTTCTTCTAGAAGAAGTTATATTTCTGTTTTTTCTGTCCATGTCTGAATGCAGCTTCCCTTCCTCTGCTGCAGCCCAGGCTTGGGATAAAGCAATAGCAAATTTGGGGAGTATTCGCCATAATGGGTATTTTGGCAGTGGCACATTGAAACATGTCCTCCACTTCAGTATTAGAGCACACTGAAATTATAAAGGCAATGTAAATGTTTAAAAAAGAGAAAAAAGAGAAAGGACAAAAAAACAACAACCCAGACACTTCCAATTTTTGCTTCATCTTTCTGTCCATATAATAGTTCAACTCAGGAGGCTGAACACAAACATCTTACAGCTGGGATTTTCCTTCCAAATTAAACTAATATGACCTCCAAAGGAAAGAAAACCTATCTTCCTTTTAGAGAGCTAAAATAAATACACAACATAAAAATCCTACTATTGCTATCTTTTATCAACCCAGTTTTACCTTGGGATCGACTTCTGTATTTCAGTATGCCACTTCCCAGAGTTGGACTCTGGTTGTTTCCTTTGGACACTTCTACACAAGCTGGATCTTGAGACTTCTCCGTTTCCATCACCTGAAAAATTTTTTAAAAAATATTTACTTGTAATCCAGAGAAGTTGATGGAATTCCTCTCATTTTTACTAAGGGAAAGAAAATTCCATTGCACATCATCTTTTTTTTTTATTTTTTTTATTTTTTCCCAGGATGTGTCATTATATTAAGCCATCACATATTTCTGCAAGTAAATTTCAGCAATGCCTTTGGACATTACTGCAAATCTTACCAATGGGTACACCCACAGCTCAGTGTGGCCAGAGATCCTCTGCAGAGGACCATAGTAACACCCCCAGAGCACCTCCAGCATCCACAGCACCTTGTTCAGGTGCTTCCATGTGCTTTTAAACAGAATTTTCATGTAGTTTTTATTGTCGATTGTTCAGCTCAGCAAAGCTTCTAGAGCCATCACAGAGAAGGTAACCACTTTTAAAAAGTGTTATTTTATTGTTAGTGTTCAGAGCTGAATGCTGATGCATTGGATGTAAACCTGATTTAACAGAAAATGATGAAGATTACATAGCTAAGCACATAAAAGCCTAGAAAAGCTCAACTTAAATTTACACTTGGACTTGCGACCCCACCACCCGAGTAAACACATCAAGATAGGAGGGGTCTATATATACGCCTCTGCCTGGTTATTCAGACAGCTCATGGCAAGGATGACAGAATGTCCACTACAATCACTTAGTGGTTGCATTATACTTTTAATGTACTATATCAACCGCTGGAAGTCAGTTTAAAACAAAAAATGCATCCAAATGACCAAACACTCTTAGTGTTAAAATAATTTCTGCTTCCTCCAGTCAAGCTTACAAATAGCAGAATTTTCCTGAGAACCTGCCTCCCATCCCACAGTCCCTCTTATCCCCAAACCAAGAAAGCCAAAGTTTATTGTTTGCAGAGAGTCTAGACTTTGTGATTTCAGTTCAAAGGGTAAAAACTTCAGGAAAAGATTAAACCAGTAGATAACAGAAAGCTGGAATAGAAACTGCTATTTATCCCCCCCCACCCTTCAACATGAACAGCTACACATAGTTTGTACATCCTAGCTAATTCTTGTTGATTTTTCAAGGCATTGCAGCAACTACTTCAGAGTCCGCTTCTAGTATCAAATGCCTCACAGCTCACAGCTCCATGTAATAGGATTAATCTAAAGAAGAAAATAGCTGCAGCACTTTGAGAAAACCAGTGCTTACAATTTGGCCATCCTAGAGAGGGACACGTTACAGAAAAGATGTAAGAAATCAGATCAAAAAACCCACCCAGGAGACTCAAATAGTCAGTCATTAGGCCACAGCCAAAGTATCACAAACTCTCCCTATGATCTCCTTGGAGTATCCAGAAGACAGCATAAATATTTAGAAGTGAGCCAGGACTCCACGGATCACACAAAGATACACTGGAATCTACCATATAAGCAAAAATACCCTGTATAAGTGAGAATGCCTCCCATGTAGAAAAGCCAAAATCATTTGCACAAACACATAAAAATTACATAGCTGGTGTTTTTAAAGCTGCACAAAACTATCAGTACTCAGGAACAGTGTTAACTTTTCAGTGGAGAAGTATCTGAAGCACAGGGATGGAGAAAAACAAGAGAGGACATCTAACTGAAGCAAGCACAGTGCTGCCTTGCACTTGCATGGTATTTAATTACCCGAACAGATAAGGATGGGCCCAGCCTCACTTTTCTGGAGCTGAGCACAAACCAGCTCAGGTCTGGAGCTGTTTCATTTCTGCAGCATGCACAGACATGGACAGTTTCACCTGATAAAGGGACACAAAGCTGGACCGCTTCCTCCAGCTTAGAGCATGAGGGGGTCAAAACTGGGTTAGTCTGCAGCAGCCTACAGAGAGATGCTGAACTTATCACTGTCACAGACCATTTCTACCCCAAGCCCAGGCTCAAGGGTGACCCATTTGGTACGCCCAAAATGTTTGGGCTTGATTAGGAGCTTTTCTGCATTTATTTTTGACTGTTCAACAGAAGCAAGTACAGATGGAAATGTATGCAATTGCAGATTGCAACTAGTGGGGCGAGAGTTAAAACAGGAGACAATCGTCACTCACATTAAAACTGTGCACCCTGTCCCTTCACCTCATTGCTGTGCAATCCTGGAGGCTCTGAGCCTACAGACACCAGCCCCCAAACCCCACATATGACCTGCAGAAGGGATGTGTGCGCAAACACCCATGCCAAGGAAAGCTTCAAAGCGTTCTCAGCGGCCTCCAGAAATTACGTTTTATCCAACTTGGCTTCAGATCACAATAAGAAGTAAAAAGCATCTAAATTACCTGTGTCTCTGTTTATTTCCTATTTTAGCAAAAATACTTTTCTGACAGTGAGTATAAACATGCAGGGGAAGACACTACTGCATTTGCAAAAAAGTAGATATTCTTTAAGTCGTTGAGCTTGTCTAATAAACCACCAGGAGTTTTATTCTGCTCAGAAAACACTTAGAAATCTGATCCACAAAGCCTGTGCGAACTCCCAAAAGTCGTGCGTCTGTGATCTTTGGCTCTGGTGTAACTTCAACAAGAAGAAAAACCCAGCTCCACCTTATCCTCCCGGCCACACGTGAATGTATCGCTTTACTGTCTCGAGGCGGCTGCCTGCGTTTAACCATGCCATTTTAATTTTCCTCACTTTCAAGGAAACGGAGCTTATTATTTCAGTTCTGTATGCCTCTTATTAAACTAAACCAATAAATCCTGCCCAGCGCCGTCCCAGCTTTAAGGACAAGGGGAGCTTTAACACGCACAGTGGTTTGAAGGGAGATCTAAAAATAGAGCCCATTTTGCCAGTTCATTAAGTAGCTCCAGGATCAAGCGATGGTGACATCTCAATTGATTTCAAAGGAAACGGCGCGATCACGGACACGCGGTCCTGGCACCTCACCAGAAGAGCGAACAACTGCCCCCAGAGTCGTCGCTCGGGCAAAGCTCCAGTGTGACCAGGCCCTTAATTAGGCAAGATGAGGAGCAGGATTATGAGAGTCTGCATTGTTTAACCGCAAACAGCTTGGCAATCATTGCCGATCTACAAAAAACAAGGCGGTACACAGGGGGAATGACACAATTTAATAAGCAAACTGCTTCACTGCTGCTGTCGTGGAGTTTCTAAGCTGCTGCCTTTCCCATCAGTGAGCCCATCCAGCTCCCCACGGTACCAGCAGCATATAGACGAGTTTAACCTGATCATTAGGGAGCGAAACAGCGAGAATCAGACTGGCAACCCAGAATCATGACAACCCAAATTCAGCCCTACCTGCACTGGTAAAGCAAGTCCATTCACTGCTCTCCTTTAAAACAGCAAGGGAAGGCACCGTTCCTGGCCGTGCTCCTGCATATGCTCCACAGGGTAATTTCTCATCTTCTTTGGTCCCAGTACAGTTTTTCCTTAAGCAGCACCACCTCCAACATATTTAATCATGAAACACTCCAATGGTCTGTTGGACCCAGCAGGATGAAGCCAAGGAGTCTCCAAGAGCAGTAGCATCAGAACCTCCAGAGAAAGGTCCAAAATGCCCAGTGTGAACCTGGCTTCACCTGGTCCCTACACAAAGTCCTTCTTCCTAGACCTTCAACACTAGCTGATGCTTTAGCTAAAAGCTTTAGCCTTTCTGAAAGTTTTGGAGATTTTCTTTGAAGATCTATTATAATTCTAGTTGTTTCGGTTATTTGTGCTATTATTTATTGCTTTCTGGGGCACAGCATGTTTTAAGCCTTAAATGTATCTGGTATGCAGGGAGCTCCACAGGCCCCTTTACCTTGCACAGAAAGTAAAATACATTCACTTTTAAATTAGCTCTTTTTCAATTTAATTGAATCCATCTCCCAGATAAATTACAAAGTGCAGCACTATAATTTACTGGAATTAACACTGCAAATGATGCAGAGGACATGGATTTTCTAATCTTGGCCAGCACTAAGTTTTCCATGGCTCTGTTTTCGGGTGTGTACAAAACTGCCTGGATGCTGGACAGAGCTGGGGCTGCAGCACCCAGGGCCACCTTTCCGAAACACAGCACCTCCCAACACCCAGGTCACACCATGGGGCACACAACAAGTCCAAATTAAAACATATTTAACTGTTTCTGGAGCAAGTTACAGGACTCCCTCTTTCAAAGGCTATTGCATTACTGCTCCCCCCTGTCATGGCACAAACATAGGGACCCAAATGGAGCCAGGAATGGAGGAAAAGAGGAGGAACATCACCCCCATGTCAACACTAATTCAGTGCTTTAACTGGCATCTTAGAAAAACCTGGTGTGCCATCTTCTCTCTCAGTGTGAAACTGTCAGGGTAGACAGCATCTCCACACGTTGGTCAGGGCTGGCTCTACCAGGGCTCAGATTTGGGCTGTATTTAGCAAATACAGTGAAATTTGGGGAAACAAAGCACCAGCCACCTTTCCCAGCAGCTCATCTCGGAATTACCCGTGCTGGTGCCACCAAGGGCAGCCTATGCTTCCTCCTGACCAGGGCAAGAGAATGGGAACCTCTGTTACCTAATTATAAAGAAAGTGTTGGAAAACTTCCAGTTCATGTGCAACAAGGAGATCAGGAAGTCTGATAAAGAGCCAAGAACTGGAGCTGCCCTATTTTCTGAATAGGTGGAAATGCCAAATAAACAAAACAAAAGCCTTTAAAGTGGTCTCTAAGAATGCCTGGTCTATCACTCTACCAAGTGCCTGCACTCAAAAACGATCACAAGCCTTCACTGTAACACAGCAGTTGCTGAAAAGGGCAATACTGTCAGCTTCAGGGGCTACAAAACCCCAGTGGATTGTTTCTATTGCTCTTTACGAAGTCTATGGAGTAGTTACACACAAACCTGCATGTGAAACATAACCTGGTACTCACCAGCATAGAGCCAGCAGCAATACCTGCTCTTGCACCCTCAGCAAACAGACTGCAAACATGCTATGGCAGAGCTGAGTTGCTCTAATCTTCCAGAATGCTCCATTTATTTTGTACAATTCACCCCAAAACCTTCTTCAATGTGTTTGACACC